TTTAGATATATTCGTTATATCCATGCCGGTACATAAAACGAAATTTAGCCAAGTATAGTTGGAAAAAGCGGATCTTTGTGGCATTTCGGTGAAACGGTGGCTGAAACAAGGTGTGTCTTTTTGTGTGTGAACGTGAATAAATTAGGTGAATATCTCGCGTCGTCAGCAGTCCCGTGTCTTACCACCTCCGAACACACTAACGGGTGTTCCAGAAGAGTACGATCGAGTTTTTCTGGAAAAGTTTCAGGAGTAGTTCTTGTGGAGAAACATCCAGTTCTTCAGGAAAAAATATGAAGTTCTGGTGGAGAAACGAAAATGTTCTTTTGGGGAAACGTCGAGCTTCTCCGGAAAAAAGATGAAGATCTTGTGGGTACCATGGGTTTTTCCGCGAAAAAGAGTTTTTATTGAAAGAAGATGAAGTTCTCGTGCAGAAACATCGAGTTTTTCCGGAAAAAAGATGGACATCTTGTGGGTAACTTCGAGATGTTGCGGAGGAAGATCGAGTTTTTCAGGTAAAAACATGTAGATCTTGTGTAGAAACGTCGAGTTTTTCCGGTAAAAGATAGTAAAAGATAAAGATGAGGAAGGAAGGAAGAAAAGATGAACTTCTTGTGCACTAGAACTGCACCTGAAACTTTTTCTGAAAAACTCGATCTTTCCTCCGCATCTTCATCTTTTTCGCGGAAAAACCCCATCGTACCCACAAGATCTTCATCTTTTCTCCGCGAAATCACGACGTTTCTGTAGTATAGAAAATGAACTGAAAGTTTTGCTACTTTCAAAAAACTCCAGTTCTGTTCCTTAAAGAAACTGAATGAAGAAAGACGATTAGGGTAGAAAAAGGAAGGTCAGGATAAACATACGTTGTAGTTCTCCGTCGGAAAGTTCGAATTCATCGAGATAATCAAAATCGAAATCACTTTCACTGTACTCAGAAGCTATTTGTTGGTTTTGTTGATCTTTACTATAAGGAGAAGAAGGAACAGAACTGGAGTTTTTTGAAAGTAGCAAAACTTTCAGTTCATTTTCTATACTACAGACTGAGTAAGCTGTTATGCGTTTGAGACGTCTGAAAACTTTCTTGTTATCAAGCTGCATTTTGGTGATCGTTATTTTATTTGTATAGAATGAAATATTACCACTACCTATCCATTTAGAAGAGCTGCACTATATACACATGTCTGTTTCTCTAGACGGAATATTCTCTAGAAGAAAAACGAATACGCGAATATAAATGAGAAAAATGAATACATCGGAGAGTGCAGAACAATAATATAAAACTATAACAATGTATATAATGTGATAATGCGAATATCACACATAGATAAAAAAGAATGAATACACATTAATTGCATGTATATAGCTGACTGTGTGGCTGGCTCTATAACACGTTCCGATACTCTTAAATTTAAGATTGTTGGTGCCTTTTTCATCTTGTATATACATACAAATTGTCTGACCTTGACTATCGATCAAGCGAATTAAAGTATTTTCTTTTTCGGCTTCTTTTTCCTTCACGCCGTTTCTAAAAGAAACTATTGGTTACTGCACTGCACTATAGAATAAGAAAGAAAATGGGGATAAGCACCAATAGTCGATTCTCTCTATCACTCTCTCATGTGAAAGTATATATATACTACGAAAATCTAATGTTTTAGAGTAAATCAATACACTTTCACATCTAGTAGAATAACGTTTAACAACTTTATTCAATCGTCAATAAACAAACATTCAATTCAAGTTGTTCTATTGAAACAGAAATGAAATCAGCAGTTATTATCCTGATAATGATACTTATGTCAGTCTTGGTAGTAATGGTAAACGGACATCCTTTCTTTGGCAGTCAAGACGATGGAGAGATCATGGATGTTGGAAATATTACTGATTTAAAAGTTGATAAACGTTGTAATTATAATCCGGATTGTCCTTGTTGTTGTTACAATTGTTGTGGTGATTCTAGAAATTGTCTCTGTTGTAGTGGTAAATGATATAAACAATTGTAAGTGAAATTCGTCTCAAACATTATTTGATAGTGAGTCATTTCATAAGACAAAGTTTTCTTGCCTAGTTAGAATGTAGCGTATTTTCCCTTTTTTGAAACGACGTCATTTTTTCTCTAATATTGTATATTTCGCTCATATTAATTATTTTGTATTCATTTGTTTTTGTCGTTCTAAAGTTTATTGGCTCTTCTGTTCACACCATATCAGTCGTTATCTTTTTCTAACTAACACTCGCTATCAATAAGAAAAGACGAAGTTTTTCAATGTCTTTTTTTCATGTAATGTTTTTCTACGGTTTGTGTTTTTAAAAATGTACAAAAGAATAACAGAAAATTTACAATAACCTCCGTATAACAAAATGTCGGAGATTATTACCTGATCTGTCCTCGCGAGAACCTTCACTCTACCTACATGAATTGTTTTGCCGTTTAGCAGAACGGCAGAAAAATTTACGGCCTGCCTTGTGATCATCTCTGTTTTTATTTAACTGGTGATACTAGCGCAGATAACTAAAACGAAGGTTTTTGCATGTTCAGCAAAGTGTTCTATTTCATGTGAGAACTATACATCGTTCGTCTGGAATATCCTTTTCTCAACAGCCATACAAAGTCTAATTGTCTGTATTATATATTTTGAAAAACTTTCCTTGGTAAGAGTGCTCATAAATCTATAACGAAAAGAGCTAGCGACCTGCGATTTTCACTGTTCGGAAAAGCAACACCAAGCGTACAAATTTATGAGCCATTGCACGTAAGCCACGACCTATTACAGCGGAATAGCCTTCAATCGATGTTTACAAAACTTTTTCAAACAACGGGGCTCTTGTAGACCCTTTATTAAAATGCATTTTAATAAAAGCGCAAATCAAAAAGTTGCATCGTTGCTGAGATATTGAAATTTTACGAAAAGCCCCGAAAAACGTTGACTCCGCCATTTTGAAAAATTTGCCAACCTTACACTCTTGTAGTTCAGTAACAACAGATTATTTAACCTTGGGGATTTTATCATAAATAGTAGATAGTGTGAGCTACAAAACCACGCAACCGCAAGCTTAAAACGTAGTTTCGTTATTTTATATGTTTTCGTTTTCAATATAGACGATTTGAAAGTTGCAATTTTGTCCAAAAATGACCATTTAGGGCGATTTTGAGGGATGATTTTGTCCATGGAAGCGGGGCCATTCTAAAGCCCCCTAGCATACTGCTGGAGTACGCTAGGTGTACTATCAAAGTCCACTCTGCGATTTGTAGGTTCCGCTAAAATGGCCTCGCGGGCTCGGTCGGGGGTAAGAAGTTCTAGAGGCTTGCTTCAATCAGTGTATTTCTGCTATAGTATATTAAAATTTCATAAAAACCGGGTGGATATGCAACTTTTCACACGGAATTCAATGGGAATACAACAACAAGTTAATTCTACTATTAATATGATCCTATGTGCGAGTTCCAGCGAGAGTATCTCTAATAGATTCCCTTCTTATGAATTTTTATATACCGGCCAGTGGTTTTTCAATAACTGAAGACCATAGAAACTTACGGTTTTTGCGATTCAGTAGCCAAGACTTTAAGCTATTTTCCTATAACTACAACAAAGTGGAAAGTATTTCTCAATGGTCAGTTTCCTAGGAGACCTCCAGAAAACCTTTTCGTAACTGTGAACCATAAAGTAGCAATATATTGTTTTTTATGAGTAAATAACCTAAAGTGTCCTCTTCAAAGTGGAAGCCAATCAAGACTTTGATTTTGAGTGATTTGGACGTGGTATCTGGTTTCCTCGGTGGTATCTGGTTTCCTCGATGGTCTGACATTTGGCGATTTTTAAGGTTCCAAGGACCAGTTCAGGCTAAATCTCAAGCCTCGGATGCGAATCTACGACTCTATTAATCCGACGTTGGCAAACACATTTTTTCAGATAAAGCTCGGCGACACCGAGAAATACATCACAGACAGACCGCATGTTGGGCACTGACGGAGTCGAAGAATCGTTTGTCGTCGGACAGACTAGCCAGAGTTCAGCAGACACATTTTCAGAAATAGAGCATATTAAATTTCTATGTATTTTTGAAGTAAAAAACTTCTGCTCCTTTGTAATTTGTCTGATCGATTTTTCTCATAAAAAGAGATCTCAGATACTGCTAAAAGTACAGGGTAATCACTGGGGATCATGCAAATGCAATCAGAAAAAACATCTTAAAATACTGACTACTGAGTGTCTCATGAATGTGGCAGTGAGCGCGACTTGCGCGGACTCTGGTGACTTTAAAGTCCGGTCAAGTCCTCCCAAGTCCGCTGGACTTTCCAAAGTCCGCTCAAGTCTAAAGTCCGCAGTTTCCCCCTTGCTAAATCTTCTCAAAAAGCTTTATCTTTAAATAAATTGTATTTATTAATTTATAGGAGTTATTAGTTATTTTTTTAAAAAAGTGAGGCATCTCATTTTGAGGTACCTCGACGCCTACTGCCAGTTGTTTTCGAAACTGATCTCCTCTAACAAAAATAAGGGCAGTAAAAAGTGAGACACCTCATTTCGGGGTATCTCGATGTCTGCTGCCTAAACTTTTCAAACTACTCTCCCTTTACAAAAATACGGGCAGTAAATACTGAGACCCGTCATTTTGAGGTACCTCGACATCTGCTACCTGTAGTTTTTGCACTTGCACAAGAACTGCACCTGTTTTCCTGAAAACGTCGATCCTACTCCAAAAGAACTTTTTCGTTTCTCCACAAGACGTTCATATTTAGATCATCAGATATACGACTATATAAAGTCATAGATGTTTCCTTAAAGAACTATGGTCAAGAAGGATAAAAATTCGAAGTTATGCTAAGTGTGTAAATATTCGCACTTATATTCAAAAGACACTTCCCTAGTTACATTCGCACTTTATTCTTGCCGCGATCATGCCGCGGCCGCGAAGTTTGCGCTTTACGCGAAAAACTGGCGATCGCGCAGCGATAATTCTTCTGCGTCGCGTTCGTGCTCCAAGTCACTTCGCGTTTAAAAACAAATCCAGTCATGTTCGCGGTTTACATCAAATCGTATCGTGTTCGCGGTTCAGACAACCCATGTCGACGTTTTTGTCGAGAAACCGCCAATTAACCGCGGTTCGTGAAAAAACCGCCAATTGATCGCGGTTCGTGAAAAAACCGCCAATTGACCGCGGTTAGCTGTAAAACCGTCAATTAACCGCAGTTAACCGTCGATTTTTCTCATAACCGCACTTAATTGTCAATTCCAGCGGTCATAACTTAACTCAATAAAATTTCAGCGAGAAAGAACTAACCTGCACTCCTCATCGACGCGAATCAGCATCAGATGAATTCATTAATCGATTTCAATGATATTTTTTCCTATGAATTTGCATTGAAACGGACGAGGACTCTTGTTTAAGTTTTTATTTGACGATAGGTTTATCCAACCAGCAACGAAAAATGGTTGACTGGCTAAGGGTGTTTATTATTTGGTTGTTTTCCGCTAGCCGTCAAAAATAGCCGTCAGATCAAAAACTATGTAGACACGACAAAATAGCTACCGAAATAAAGAGATTTTCGAAATAAAAGAGCAATGAAGCTGTTTTAAGCCATAAAACTGTGGTAATTAAAAGGAATAGATTGATTTTGACCTCAAAACGATACTATAACAGATATATTTATCAACCTTGTGATTGGTTCTTTCATATTATATCTGATATTTTATGGATTTATGCTTTTTTCTGGAGCGCAAGAAAGGCAGAGAATTCTTTTTTCTGCTATCTGTGTCATTTCAAAGAACTGAGTAAAGAGTAGTGAAACTCAAAAGCGTTTCTTAAGTGTAGACAAATTGGAAATTCGTTTCGTCAGTCATTCTGAGTATCAAAAGGCGGTGTTCTTTCTTAGAGAATACACTAATGTCAGCAGTTTTCTGATGTATAGGCTCAATTAAACATGTTAATTGTGTGAAAATCTCAGACTAAAGTTCCACAGACGTGAGAAATGAACGAAAATTTTGATGTCTAACTGAGCGTAAATGACTTTCCTTGACTGCATCATGTTCCCGAAGAGAAAACCGGGTAAAACATCATGCGATTAAGCCAATAACTTGATTACTGCAGTTCTTCAAAAATGTAAAGAGATGAGAACTGTAAAGAAGTTTTCTTCAAAAGAGTCTCAATCAAACGATAAACGTTCATCCCGGGCAGAGTGATAACCAACATTAATGAACGTGGACGAGTATGTTTATAGATTTTATTATTTTGTATGACTCATTTCTGTTTTTCAGGTTAAATGTGATATGTATTGGCCAGAAGAAGGAACCGAAATTTATGAAACTATTCAAGTTACACTTTTAACAACAATAACATTAGCTTACTATGTCAAAAGAATATTTGCCATTCGATGTAAAGCAAATCGAAAGGTAAAGAACATATTTTCTGTCGTCTCATCTTTCAATTCATTTTTTTCTACAAGTACTCTTGTTAGCAGCTAGATCTTTGTTTGTTTCAACGGTAATGATACTAATCTATCGTATATGTTTAGTAGAGGTTACATTATTACATTATAAATAAGATTCCTTATCGAATTCTTGCTAGAAGTAAACTTAAGGTCTGTTTGAAGTTGAAAATCTTCATGCAAAGTTGATTTTTATTGTATATTCTCCTTATCTTTTGTTATCTTGTCAATTAGAATAAAAGTATTATTTTAATATTAGCGTGTAACTTACGAATGTTTATTTACCACTTTCACTATACAAATTGTATAGTGAAACTGTTTTGTGTTCTCCCTGCATTGGCTTTTATTCGAAAATCATCACAAGCCAATCGGGCTGATGCGCCGATCGTTGTTCATTGCAGGCATGTTTTCAATTATTTAATGTGACAAGTTAATCCTTATTGTACTAATTATTTTCTTTTTTTAGCGCCGGTGTTGGACGTACGGGAACATACATCGTGATTGATACTATGTTAAAAAAACTGAAAGAACAACGTTCAATTAACATTCCATCGTTTCTTAAACAAATTCGTCAACAATAAAATTTTCTTGTACAAACGGAAGAACAGTTTATATTTATTTATGATGTGTTAGTCGAAGCCATAAATGAATTCAATTTTTCTTCGAATGGTCTAAACGATATTGAATTAAATGAGTATAACTTTGATTATTCAATACAAATATTAGGTTATTTTTTCAATAATGATTCAAATTTAACAATACTAAAATAAAAGATTACTATTTATCGACTGGACAAGCCGAAACAAATTTATTAAAAAATCGTACACAAGCATTCTACCAATAAATCCAACACGAGTTATATTAACGAAAAAAGCAAATATTTTAAATGATGCTGAATATATCAATGCTACGTTTCTTCATGTAAGTCAATTTAATATGTGATTTTAAATTTGTTTGTCTAAATCTGGTCTAAGCTAGATTAAGAAACTGATTTTCAATTGATGCAATGTAGACTGAATTTAGTATCTAATCATGACGGTTTTGTCCTTCAGGGTTGTTATCGTCCAGACGAATATATAGTTACCCAACATCCGTTAATAAATACTATAACGGATTTTTGGCAAATGATTTAGGATACAAATTGTTCATTAATTGTCTCACTTTATGGTGATGAGAAAACACAAGTATGTTTTATTTCTTTTGTTTGTACATATTATTAGCTGAAGTATCCTATGTTTTCTTATTTTTAAGTAAAATCAAGAAATTCATAACCTAATCAACATCCATCCATATTATATCAGAATATCAATATTTTACCTTCTCCAAATGATTTTTTACTTGAGAATAGTAAAACGCATTCTTGTACTTCGGAAGATTCTTAGAAAACCTTTTCAAAAACCAAAGTATTTTCTGTTGATTCCTAAAGCGTTTATTGAACTGCATAGTATTGAGCAGGTAAACAGAGTACATCTTGATATTCTGATATAATTGTATATATCGTTTTGGCGAAAATATAGCGTAAACTGTCGTCTTTCGATTGCTGAAGATCGCATGTCTCTGTCATTTATTGTTTTCGAGATATAATTATATCAGAATATCAAGATATATTCTATTTGCCTGTTCAATACTATGCAGTTGAATAAACGCTTTAGGAATCAACAGAAAATACTTTGGTTTTTGAAAAGGTTTTCTAAGAATCGTCCGAAGTACAAGAATGCGTTTTACTATTCTCAAGTAAAAAATCATTTGGAGAAGGTAAAATATTGATATTCTGATATAATATGGATGGATGTTGATTAGGTTATGAATTTCTTGATTTTACTTAGAAATAGGAAAACATTTGCTTACATCTTATTTTGTAGAGGATACTTTTGACTATCCATCTACGAAAAAAGAACGATAGATTGCTATATCGGTTTCTAGAAATTCGAGCTGATTTTTCAAAGATCTAGGAGAAAAGTATATTCCATTTAACTCTGAATGTTCATCTTTTCTGTTTATATGTAAAGGGTCATCGTCGTTCAAATGCTTATATCGCTACTCAATGACCTTCATCATTTATATATGCTCTTCCACAAAGTGTTTGATCCAGGTTTGAAATGGACAGAAATACAATGAATGAACAATGGCCAGCATTGAGAGACGTATGTATACAAAAGCGTCGTAATATAAAAGGAAAAATTATTCGGCAAACGATGGCAGCTGCAAACAATATCACAACAACGAACAAATCTAGCAATAACAACAGCCTTGACACTTTAGTTTTTCCATGGAGTTTTTCTGGAAGTTTTTTCATAGAAGTAATAAAAGAAAAATTAAAAGAAAGTGACTGTGCGTGGTCCATTTCGCTGAAAAGAGAAAATAAATAGGTAGCGTAGTCCTGGACTTGAACCGGTATCGTTTGCTCAGCAAAAAACAAACCGTCAATTAATCGCGGTTAACCAGAAATAATCGGACAACTCAGTGGTTAACCGCACGGTTTTGCCGGTTTGGCGGTTAATCGCAATTAACCGGATGGTTAAGCGCACACTAAACCGGACGGTTAATTGCGGTTAATTGGCGGTTTGATAAACATGGGAAGAGCGTATCGCGTTCGCGATTCAGATAAAACATTTATATGCGTTCATATGAAGTTTCTTCGTTTGAAGAAAAATCTTATAAAAGTGTGGGAAGGTAGATTACATAGCAGAAGCACATGCATCTCTAAAAAACATTTCTTTCTGAGTTAAAGAAAACAGAAGAAGCAGATATTTATCGTTCGATGTTTTTAATTTCGTTTACGCGTGTATCCCACGTGTATTTTGTCCTATGTAAATTTCTAACGAAGAACAACATGCTTCACATAAACGCATATAGTCTATATACTTGTCTAACATTTTTAAAAGTGAAGAATTTATATAGTACACATAGACTTGTACGGCGGCCACGTGCGCGATGACGTTACAAAGCTTTTCTTCTCATTTTAAATGAGACGAAAAGCAGTATCTGTTATATCAGACACTTATTTCTTCTACTTAGGTCATATCTGCTATTTTAAGTTCCTCAAAGCAGAATTAAATCTAAGAACAAAATTAACTAATTTGCAAAGTAAATACGCAGCAGTTGCAGTGAGTGAGAGAATATAAATTCCTAAATATAAATTTTATTTCTTCAGGCATTTTGTGTAGATTAAAAAAGTCTTCTTTCTCAAAAAATGCACTAAAGGGCTTTTTCTGTGTTCTTTCTCTCAATCGAGTTAAAAAATGCACAGAAGTGAGAAAGCATCAAAGGTTGCTGTTTTTATAACAATTTTGAGTATCCTCGGTGTAACATCGCTTTGTTGTTAGTGGCTCTCAGGATGTAGCGACGATCAGTTCGGTTCTGTTTGATGCACAGCGTGAATGTGTTCTTCACATACGCCAAACGTTACCTTATCGTTAATATTCACCAGCGAACCATAAAACGGCAACCGCTCTCACTTTTGTTTTGAGATCAAATACCAGTTTTATGTCGAACTGTAAGTGAGAAATACATGAGAGAACTTAGAGAAGTGTAAGACTGAAGCTGTTTTAGAAACAACAATCAAAATTTTTCTAAAGTAATACCGTTATCATCATTTCTATGACGCGTTAAGAAGAATTATAGAAAGCGAGAGCGTGTTTACAAATAAAACTGCTGTGTACTTATTTTAAGCTCAACCTCGAAGAGAGTCTGAGGTGAATGATTCACCTTGATTGCATTATGTTCCCGAAGAGAAAACCGGGTAAAACATGGTGAAATCAGTAGATTTC